TAGCGAGATGGACTGGCCGGCTCGTCCCCCGAATCAAATAATTATGATGAAGATAAATTGCTGCATGGAAAGAGAGATGGGGCTGGTAAATGCGTTTTGTTGTCAAGACTTTCAGTCAGAGTGGAGTCGGGCAAATGGTGTTTGTGCGTGTGTCACGGAATTCATGTTTTGCTCTTCCCTCGTAAAGGAATTTTGCAAGATTTGCCCCTTAGCAAAGGGCGATGGAATAATCTACATGGAGCATTTTTTCTTTCTTCAGGGAGTCACAGAATTTAGCAAAAAGGATAATACCCATTGCTCAATGGATACATTTTCGTCTTACGGCTACTTGGCAGTATTTTATATGATTGATGGTGGTCAGATTTCTTTCATGAACGAGCAACAGCTACTGTTTTTACTCAAACCGATTCAAACGTCCGAAAGCAAACCTGTTGCTACGTGTCACGTGACATTGATTTTTGGCTAGAGACGACAATGGTCTTTTTGGTCAAATCTGATGTGGCAAAGTTGAGATCTGTTTGATAAAGTGTGTGCACTGGCCATTGCCTTTTCCTGCCCCTGACCCGAAACGATCTGATTAAGCTCGTCAAATCCGCTAGACCAATTGGCCTTCCTTTTTTATTATACTAAAACTGAAGCAGTTTACTGAGAGTACATTTCAAAGTTTTACACCCTCATCCACATAAAGTAGATTATTTAGAAAGAGAGCTACGTCGAACTTGCCTGTTAGGGACATCCCGGTCTAAATGGGACATGATGTCCCATGAGAAAGATGGAGATACTCGATAAAATTATCGTTCTCACATGCGAATCGAGCTTCTTTTGTGTGCACTGTCGAAGGGCCTAACCATTATTCCGTAGACGTCTGTCTGAAGTAGCTATATTATTATTATTATTATTATTATTATTATTATTATTATTATTATTATTATTATTATTATGCAGAGACAGAAAATAATGTTTTCACTTTTTACAGCAGCCTGAGTCTGGAGGATTGACATGTCCTTATTATAAATCGCAGGAGACTTATTCGAAATGTATTCGTGTAATAAATTGCAATTTCGGCAGCCGCCTTTTATCTTCTTCAGAGATCTATCACTGACAAATGAAGCTAAGCTGCTGTTGCATTCATGGATGGTAGATAACTTTGTAGGGGTCTGGAACTACAGAACAAAAACGTGCATGATTATATGGAACCATTGCGTTTGTTTTATGTTATTAGCTTTCCCGTATTTTATTTTCGTGCAAAGCACAACCGATATCCAATTGATTTGTCTCAAACGCTGGCTTTTTATGAAGGCTTGCCGGAAGCGGAAGCCAGGAGGAGATAATTTCACGACCACCACTAGGTTTTTGTCCCACCAGTTCGCGTTTGTTGTGGAGGTTTTATGTCAAAGTGAAATAGAGGGATGGTGAACGGATGGAAGACATGTCGATAGAAAAAACAACAACAACAGAAAAAGACAATTCCCAAGTCGGAAACGTAATAGCGGTTTGATTAGGTGTATAATTATTTGAGTTATATCAAAACGTTTTGCTAGGGATCCAGCAGGAGATGTATTGAAAAATATCGTTATTTGAAGGTGTTTTCCTTTTGTGGTCTGTCTTGTGGTGTATAAATAGGCTATGAGAGTGGGTGGATAAAAGAGACTGAGCTGTAACGAATAAGTGGAAAACTGCCGACTTTGTTTTCTCTTTTTTCCGG